CTTGAGGATCACCCTGCCAGGAGGCCCAGCACAGAGGTCTAGTAGTTTGTCAGAAAAGAGACTGGAAGGAGAGTCATACAAAAGTGCATGGCAAAAATGGGATTGCCAACTTCCAGGTGGGTCCTAAAGTTCTGCCAGAATCACAGCTGATCTCTAAAACAGTTCCCCTGGAAAAAGCAGGAGTTTTTGAGGGGTGCTCTGTGGCATTATGCCACACTGAGGTCTCTCCCCTTCTCCAAACTCTGTCTTTTGCAGACTCCACCCCCTCAGATCTCATGGAATCTCCTAACTCAGAGCTGGCAGCCCTGACAAATCATCTGGCTTCATGGCTGTTGTGCATGGCACGCAGGCCTCATTCAGTACTTGGGTGGTGTACATTCAAGAGGTATGATATAAAGCAATCAGGCAGTACTGGATTTGGGACGGCGAGGCAAGAGACTGTGTACTATAGTAATATGGGGAACCAGGCCCTCCCCCTGAGATGGAGCCCTCTGTGCTTTTCAGGGCTCAGAAGCACCAAGACAGGACCCTTTTTTCACCAACCTGTTGTGGCCAAAGAAGGATGCAGGCAGAAGGACTGGTGGACGAAGGCTGGAGGTGCCAAGGCAGTTTACATCTTCCCTTCAAGTGTCACAAAGCTCTTAATACCTGGCTGTGAAACAAAGCCTAGAAATTGCAGCCACCTAGTGGTGGGAAAGTGACACTACCTGCAAAAGAGGCTGTTGTAGGCACCTAAGTCACTTACGCACCAGTTGTCTGCCTGGGTTATGATGCAATTGGGAAGTGGGTTTTTCCCACCATGGGCATATGGGGGTGGGGCTTTTCCTGAAATTGTGCCTTCCTCCTTACTTTCCAGTGCCTGGTATCTTTCTTGTTTTGAAAGAAGTTCAGAAATTGCGGTGAATTTTCGGGAACTCATTTGGCCCTGGCTATTACATTGCTACTCAGATGAATATTTGATACGGCTATTTTTGTTGTAAATTGCCGTTTTGTCATGTTTATTTTTATTGATTTTAGAACTTTTGTTTTTAGCCCTTTGCTTATTGTGTTTCCTTTTAAGCCACCTAGAACACTATTTAGTGATAAGGGTACAAGTATTTTCCATAAATAAATTGTTCTTAATAGTTTAGTTTACCTGAACTGGCTGTTGAGCTGGTGCCAGCAGACATGATGCAGGGCACAGACCCCGTGCTATTATTAGCATGTCATCTTCCCTTTAAAGTTCTAACAATGGCACAGGAACTCCAGTGTCAATTAGTGAAACCAAGTAGAAGTCAGAATGGATATTACGCAGCCCTGATGTGAACTGGGGCTGTGCATGTATACAATTTGACTTTTCCCAGCAGAATTAAAATCCATGATCTTTGTCACAGCTGTTTGTGCCCCTCGCCCGGGGGGGGGGGGAGTGTTAGCACACACAGACCCAAACAAATGAACGTTCTTAAACTGCAATGGGGAAAGCTTTTATGTTTGTGCAGGGGGGTGTTAACCTAGAGAGGTGGCTCAGAGTAGCAAGCTTTCAGTTGGAAAACAATAACAGAGACCTGATGTAATGATTTTAAAAAGAATATATAACATTTGTTGAGGGATTTGGTACAATAATGGGAGGGGTGGACTTATCCTAAGCAAAATATTAGCAAATAATAAATCAAGGCATAGACAGAGTACATTCCTTATCCAAACTAACAATACAACAAGGACAACCAAAAAAGAGCTTTACTTTTAAGCTACAGGTGTAAATGTGGGGGGGGGGTAGGGAAATAGGATAGGGGAGAAGTGGGTCTGTTGGAGCAGAAGTGCCCAGTCATCTAAATGTGAGGCCTGAAGAGCAGAGAAGAACAAATTGCTAGGTCTGTGTGGGTGCTGTGCAGTTTAGAAAATAAAGGGAGATAGATCAAGATGGGGAGCAAAGATATACCTGTTCTAGTCTCGGAAGAAAGCAGACAAAAGGAGGGGGGGATCCAGCATGCGGAAGCCTAAGCTCCAGTCCAGTTTGTAGCCCAAGTCAGACTCAGTGATTTCAGCAAGGAGGTAGCGCACCCATGAGGCTGGGATAACAGGTAGGATAGAGAAACAAGCTACGAAGGTTTTGGGGTTGAGACGAGGTGCCTTTTATGTACCTTTAGTTGCACTGAGAAAGTAACAGTGTCTCTGCTGTGACTAGATTGGGTTCTGCCTAGAAATGCTGGATCCTATTGAAAGGTTTGAATTTTAGGGGAGTGAAGGGTAGAAAGAACTCCAAATATGGGCATGATTAACCATGTTCAGAAAGATGAAGGAATACAAGAAATGTCAACCTGTCGTGATTTGGTTATCTGCCCAGAATACCAGCTTGGCCTGGTTTAACCAAGGACTAGACAGGGCTTGATGACCCTTCCCAGGTCTCTAAATAAACTACCAGAGCAGCAAGCCAGATTAACAAAGGTGAGAAGGTTGATGGACCTGGTCTCACTTGCCATTAATTTTCCAGGGAATTCTGTGTTGTAAGGTATTTTATTTATTTATTTATTTAATTTACTTAGGATTTCTATCCCGCCCTCCTGGCTGTAGCGGCTTACATAAAACAAGGCGGCTTACATAAAACAAGGTAGATTCCTGGATGATCCTAGAAGGCAAGTAATTCTTTTGCAAACCTGAACTGTTAATTATGGCCTGAATTTTGATGAGCTCTCAGAAAGCCACTTCCTTGTGAGTCAGCTTTTCTGTTGCCTACAGCCTGATGTCAGTTTTGCAGTTTTAATATCAAACATGGCTTCCCTTCTGTAAGCCTGAAAAGTCAGGAAGGGCAGCAACCCAAAACATGGCTCCTAACTCAGGGCTGCTTTCAGGGTTACTGGAGAAGCAGCTCCTAAAGCTAAATCTTTGCTAAAATTGAAGTCACCACTCTAACAGCCATTGTAGAGACATGTTACTAGAAGAGGATAGCTGGTCACTTGGGCCTCAGGTAACTTCTGAGGAGCAAGCTCTGTCTACCCACTCAACTGCTACAGATCAGAATAGATGTTCTCAATGCAGAGTTCACCCCAGATGTTGAGTGCTAGACATCTGGCAGTATCTGTGCCCTGGCAGCAGCATGAATATAACTCAGGTTCCCACTCAAGCATACAATAATCTGTCTTGACTTGGCGTAGATTTTCTTGGCTTTGTGGGGCACCTGTTCATCATGTTACTGTTTCTTCCTTGGTATTTGAATAAATCCATTTTGTTTTCATCTCAGATGTGAGAGAGAAGGTATATTTGCCTGGATAATAACTGTGTTTCTTTAGGCAGGATCTGAGCTGTAGGATTAGCAAAAAGCAGGTAAGCCTCAGCCTCTGTGGGTCCACAAGACAGATTCCCTCTGCCTCCCATCACAGGACCCAGGTCACCAAACCAAATCATGTAACTCACCTGGCTCCCTGGGTGACCAGGGCCCCCAATTTTAGTCCCCCCTACTGCCCGACTTGGCAGCCCAGGAGACCCCTGGACCTTTGAGCCTGTCCCTTGCTTCCAGGACTAGACAAGGATTTTAGGAGCCTATGGATAGTTAAGTGGGCCCAACCCCACCAATTCCAATGGATTTATGCCATTACATTTGATTTCTGTGCTTTCCTCTGTTTGGAGCTTGCCTAGCACCCCTGACTTTTTTCATCCCTTCTTGAATAATTGCCCAGCTTTCTATAGGAACAAACCTGGGAAGAAGGTTCCTAGGGGCAGACATGCCTCAACTTCAACAAAAGTTTTCTGCTCTCACAAATGCATAGATCACAACTGCACTGCAGCATTGCCATCTGCTGGTCAACTGAAACACAGCACCCCCAGACCTTTACATTTGAGAGTTCGGCCCAGTCAGGCCTAATCCAGGGAGACTGCAAGCAAACACTCTGCATAGGGTGGCCCTTTGTCTGTCCCACTGCCTATGAAAATGCCATATTCAACTTTTAACACAGACAAATGGAAACGAAGGGTCTCTTTCCCTGTTCCAAAGTAAATTATTAACCACTAAATCACAGGGCTATACTGAGATGGCCATTGGATACTCAAGTCTCTATAGGTTAACAGTCCTCGGAATGAAATTGGAAGTATATTTATTCCAGCTGTCAAGTGAAAAACATCCTATCCCAGCTAAAGATCCCTCATGTTTAAGATTTTTATTCAAAATCAATCTAATCATTCTTGAAATGAGGCAACATGAAAAAATCACGACACAAAAGTACTTGCGTATGTAAATGAAATCAGAAGCATAAAGCATCATATCTTATCCTATCTATGTTAGGATTAAAAGATGTTTAAAATTCTGTGCTGCTCACCAAAGCAATTTCAGAGAGATTAGTCTCACGTAATCCACATCTGAGAGATTCAAGGGTGTTTTGAGTGTGGCTCTTATATAGGCCCACGTATATAAAGCTCACATGACTATCAGGATCACTTCATTCATCTTCATTTATGGGGTGAGAGTTTCCAGTTATATAATTGCTTATAACAGTGTTGCAAAACACAGACCTGCCTGTTCCCAAATTTGCTTGGTTTTTATTTCTGGGCATGTCTCCAACAACTCACAATTATCTTTACAAAGAACTGAGATTTTTGTGGAAATGTTACATTCTCAAGCTAGCTTTGTTCAGCCACTGACCATCACAGTCTGCAACACCAGTAGACCATGTGCTCTAATACTCATACAACCATGAAAGGGAGGAAAATCACTGACACTGCCCTGAGCACCTTTGCAGAAAGGCAAGATAGAAAGGGGGAGCTGGAGATGGATTTTCCATTTGCTACAGTTCAGTCGCCATCTTACCACTTCAGATTGGTAGCCATGTTAGTGTGAAGCACCAAAATAAAACAGGAGTCCAATAGCACCTTAAAGACTAACAACATTTATTCCAGAATAAGCTTTTGTGAGTCAGAGTTCATCAGACTACTACCCATTATAACAAGTACCACTGAAATGTATATTTATTTATTTGTTTGTTTGTTTCACTTTTACCCCGCCCTCCCCGCTAGGCAGGCTCAGAGCGGCTTCCAGGAACTGACAAGCAGTATACATTCACAATAAAATATAAAACATCACTTAAAACATAACCAGTCAATATCAAATGTAGTATTGCACTGAACCTTAAAACCTTTCATGTTAATATATGCCATACAAGGAATGAATATCACAATTCAGGAATACTCCTGAAGTTCATGATCTACAAGGGCTTTATAATGTTATAAGAACATAAGAAGAGCCCTGCTGAATCAGACCAGTGGTCCAACTAGTCCAGCATCATGTTTCATACAGTGCCCAAGAGCTGTGAAACTTAAACTTAACTTTAATTTTTTTTTTGGGGGGGGGGATCTTTTCTTGTTAATTATCATACTGCAACTTGAAGTAGATCTCATGGATTTCTTTGCATTCAGGGTCTATATCTGTAAAGAAAAAGAGAGAAAATAGCCGTAATATAAGGAAGCTTTTATCTGGAGATTTTCCAAAGCTGTACATGTGTTCAAATGTCCATAAGTGGTGATTTTCATACGGACTGATTTTCATTGCCTGAAGAATGTGATCAACAAATGAGGCCAGAATTGTTAAGTAGGCAGCATGTCCTTCCGCATTCACTACAGTGATCAGGTTGTCCTGAAGGGCAGATCCAACCATGAAAACATATGTTTCAGCTCTGCTTTTTGTTTGTTTGTTTGAGGGGAGGGGAAGCAGTGTGGGGAAGAGATGTTAAGCCTTCTCCCTCCTGCTGCAATTCTTCTGTGCCCGAGTTCCAGGAATGTGTTCCTACAGGTTGGAGCCTGGAATCCAAGTGAAATTCGGCAGAAAGGTAACAAGTGAAGGAAGGGAACAAAGTTCTAGTCCAGTGGCACCTTTAAGACCAACAAAGTTTAATTTAAGGTATAAGCTTTCGTGTGCAAGCACACTTCTTCAGATAAGTGAAGGAAGGATTAGGGCTTCCCTCATACGCAGCAGTTTTTTACTTAATGTTCCTTCTTCCTTCCTTTATAAAGCTAAACGCATCTTACATCCAAGCACAGAAGAGATCAAGATTTCCTAGGCTGCAGCATTGCTATATTTCACACCTACAGTATTAAATATATCCCGAGTGGTTCTATCACCATTTGGATTGCTGGGTCAGGAAATACCTGGAAATTTCGGGGACAGTGCTTGGTAAGGGAGGAATTTGGTAATGGTAGATCTCAGCAAGGATGTGATGTCAACATTGTGTGATGCCACTTGCAGGTCAAAAGTCAAGTTATGTCCCTTCCAGGTCAAAGAGTGAGTCCTCAAAGTCCTTCTCTTCCTTCCTGCCTAACATCAACTTAGGTTGCCATGCCAGTGCTAGGGGTAGATAAAAAAAGCACCATTCCAATGGTGTTGTGACCCTGGTTTTATCATAAAGTTTTGGGGTCCTAGCATGTCGTGCTGACACAATGATGTTGCAGTATCAGAATGACACCTCTTTTCCCCACCGCAATGATGGCTGGCAGCAGGCCCCCAAGGCTGCTGGTGGGAGGTGTCCCACAACAGTGGGAGACTTGGCCACCCTAATCATGTGCCCCTTCCCTCTGGTTGGGTATATCAGACCCGAATATATTCAGCAATGCCGAATATTTCCCCAGTCCTGATACTTCACTGATACTGGACTGGGGAACTTCAGCATTGACTGATATTTTTCGGTTCCGACACCTAAAAATACCGATTTATTTTTTTGCACACCCCTAATCTCTTCCTTTTAAGTTTCAGGTCATGTGTAATTTTTTTATCCAAGGAGCTCAGGACAGCACATATGGCTCTCAGAACCACCTTGTGCGGTACACTAGGCTGAGAGAAAGACAGGCCCAAGATCACTCAGGGCAGTTTGTGGCTAAGTGAGGATTTGAACACGGGCCTCCCAGGGCTTACTCAAAACTCTAGGCACTATACCACACTGGCTCTAATTTTTAATACAAATACTGGGAGGGTGGATCAGTCAATGTCCCGGACGGGCACAACGTCCCTGGCATGATGATGTCACATGGAAGTGATGTCATTACACCAGGGACATCATGTGGCAACATTCTGGTATTTTGGGCAAAACTCTATGGTAGTCACAGAGTTTTGCCCAAAATATCAGAGCATCACCATGCAATGTCCCTGGTGTGATGACATCACTTCTGTGTGACGTCATCATGCCGGGGATGTCGCCCTAACCCTCCACTCCTGGGAAGCTCCCTCCCACTCCCTGCCGGCAGAAGAAGAGGACCTGACAAACCTAAGCACATGTCCCTGGTGGACAAGGCATAGAAGTCCCTTACCTTCATGCTCTGCTTGTGCATATCCTAGAGGTATCTAGCTGGCCTCTGTAGGAAACCACATGCTTAGGTGGATAGACCTTTGGCCTGATACAGGACAATTATTATGTTCTTATGGCACAGGAATAGCTATATCTAAGGGCCAAACTACATATGATTGGCCACGAGTTAGGTTGGGATTCTCCCAATCCCACACAACAGCTGCAGGGAACTTACTTAACTAAACACCACTGGACCCCACTGAGATCAATGCAGCCACGGAATGATGCAAAAAGCATGCACACACTCCAGTTCATTCCAACTGAGGAAAATGGAGCAGGGGAAAGACTGGAGACTTCCTTCCTGGTACTGTGGTCTTGACCTGAATTGGACTTCCTCACAGCTTCCATATGCCAGTGGGAGAAACAAGCTGGGTTGGGAGAATCCCAACCTAGCTCATGACCAGACTTATCATGTAGTTTGGCCCTTCCTCTTTCATCCTAATTCCAGAGAAGTAGCCATGTTAGTTGGTTGCAGTGAAACTAAACAAGAGTCCAGGGGTACCTTAAAGATACACTGAGAACCTGCATGGTATAGTGGTTGCTGTGCTGGACTAGCATCTGGGCTCCAGTTTCCACTCTGCCATAAAGGTTCACTGGGTGACCTTGGATTAGTCTCTCTCTCCCTCTCAGCCTACACAACCTCACATGGTTGTTGTGAGGATAAAATATGGAGGGAAGAATGTTATAAGCATCTCTGGGTCCCCTTTGGGAAGAAAAGTGGGGTATAAATAGCCAAATAAAACCAATCCTCCCTGCAGCTGGATTCTTGGCAAGGAGCTCCTGGAAATCTCTCCACAAGAAACTCTATGGCTAAATATTCACTACACGAGAGACTCTACAGCTAAATAATGTTCCTTCAAAACCTAGCCCTTATGGTGTGGATACAGACCACATCTTTTATTAGATAGATAATTTCTTTTCAGTGATTTGAATATTGAGGATTACAGGGTTAAACCATAATGTTATACAAAATGAAGCCATCCAAAACAAGCGCATTACTGTAATGTCAGTTATTTCTGTTGTGGGCTAATATCTGCCTTATAAGTGGCTGAAAAGAAAAGGCTTTTGTCCTGTGGTGAGAAAAGGAATTATTCCCGGGTCACTCACAAAGTATTAAAACACTTTATTGAAAAGGCAAGTCATAAATTAACTGTACAAATTGCATATTTCCAATCAACCTCTTCTATTTTAATAAACTTTAGTAAATAATAATAATAATATTCTTAGTATTGTTCACATTCCTAGAAAATACAGAACTTATTAGCAAACAGCAAGTCCATTGGCTTTTTTCCCGTGCTTTGATGGAGGAGGAGGGAGGAGGAGGGGTGACCCAGGCCATGTGAGATGCAAGAGAAAGGACCATTGGTACTTATTGAGAAGGGTCCTTCTCCTCTGAGATAAGGAGGACATTTTGATGGGTGTTTCCCACCCTATCCTTAGGGAGGCAGGAACTAAACTTCACTTCCTGTCCTCTTGGTGGGACACGCCCCTCAACTCAGTTTGAAAACTCCCAGAAGCAGTAAAAACGTCAACTGTTTTCTAATAACTAAGCCAACTTCGGCTATAACTGTAAAAAACGAAGAAACTATTAACAAGTCAAGGAGCGAGGCAGGGACAAGAAGGACCAGACAAATAAAGAAGGACAAAGGATAGAACAGTAGAGAGAATGATGACAATGATACGGGAGGGCCAAGATGTCCTCCTTATCTCAGAGGAGAAGGACCCTTCTCGGTAAGTACCAAAGACCTCCTGGCTTTGACTCCTATCTCTGTTCACTGCTATCACTTGAAAGGCTGGCAAGGGAAAAGCACATTGTCTTCTCATTGTACTCAGTTTCTCCACAGTCAACGTCTGGTGCAAAATTAAAAGTGGCATCATCACATGGGGTGATACTCTAGCATTTGCCCAACACTCTACGGTTTGAGTTTTGGGTGAATCCTAGTAAATCACCCCAGCACAATGACATCACTTCTCATTTTGTGCCTGAAATGATCCTGTGCATCAGCGCAACACTAAGGGGATCATCCCCACCTCCAGTTTCCCCTGTCTCTGGCAACTGTAGTATGTGGACCAGGGCCTAAGCTGAAAATCTTCATAAGTAATGAGGCTCCTATAAAATGAGGTGGTGTCCGAGGCATGTAGGTATAAGACCATGAAGAGGTTTGATGCACCAGTAATATAATTTTCAAAATGGTGTTATAGCAAAGCAGCTTAATCATGTATCGGAGCATGAAAACAGGCTTGTGGACCAGGGAACCAAGAGCACCAGGATGTCAAGGAAAGTGTGAAATGAATTTGGCTAGACTTGATCATTTTTAAACAATAATTTACCAGGCACAATTACTGCGCCTTCACTGAGCACAATCTACCAGAAAATTATCCTCTGTAAGCAGATGCTATGAATTATGTTCTTGTGCTACTCATTCATTTCAATAGGGTGTGTGCACTAGAATATTCCACTAGATGGTGCCCTCTGTTTGCAGGACTCTAGTGAACCCAACAAGGTAGGAGATAAAGAAGTGTGTGTGTGTGTGTGTGTGTGTGTGTGCGTTTGTGCGTGTGCTTGCGCTTAGGAGCAGCCTGCAGTTCCTTCCTACACCAATCCCTACAACCTAGAGCAACTTTGACACACAGTGCTTAGCCCAGGGGTGCTGAAAGGACACCTTATCCAGGTGTTAAGCCATAGACAACTGTGCCTCATCTGAATCCAACAATTATAAGTTTCAGTTCTTTCCCTTGGGGTTGGGTTCAGTGACAGAGCATCCACTTGGCACCCAGAAGGCCCCAGGTTCATTCTCTGGCACCTCCATTTAAAAGGATCAGATTGTAGGTAATGTGAAAGACCTTGACCTGAGACCCTGATCTAGCCATTGGCACTTAGAGTTGACAGCATTGAGCCTCACCGACCAAGGGTCTGATTCCATATGTATAAGGCAGCTCCACATGCTCATATGTACCTGCCAAGTGTACAGCAGCCCGCTCCTGTTTCAAGAAGACCAGACTGAACACAATGGAAATTTTTTCCTTCAGCTTCTCCAAGATCTCTCTCTGCAGGAAACAGAGGATGCCACATACAAAACTGTTAGCAATGCATCTAGGATGGGCTATAGCTCAATAGCAGTAGAACATTGGGGTTATAGACTTTATAGCCAAGCTTCCGTTCTTAGCAATTCCACTTAAAAAGATGGTACAGCTCAGGAAGAAAAAGCTTCTACCTGAGACCTTGGAGTGTCATGTCAAAGACTCAAAGTAGACAGTGACAAACCACATGAGGCAACAGCCTACCTGCAAAAGGCAGCCACACATTTTTATTTTTATTATTTATTCAATTTATATCCTGCCCTATCCCACAAGTGGGCTCAGGGTGGCTTACAGCATGCAGTCCATAAAACAATAAAACAGTAAAAGCAATAAAAGTCGATGGCATGATAAACAATATAATCAAACCCCATGCCTCATATCAGGTGAATACAGATGCTCCAGTGCCCAATAATATTATCTGTCAGCAGGCACTGGGAAAGGGGCCATAAACATAAACACATGTTTATCAAAAACTGTTGGTAGAAATGCCCACAGCCTTTGTCTTTTTTTTTTGGGGGGGGGGGGAGAAACTTAACAATGTTCTCAATTAGCTCTTCATGTCCAACCATAAAACTTCTCTTATTAGGAACAATTTTATATCAAAAGCTTCCACAGAATTATATAGGTAAAAAAGTGGAAGAATCAAGAGGCAATTTCCTGAAAAAAGACACCACTCCCGTGCTCGCACACACACACAAATCTCCCACCCAGTCCAGCCTACCAGTTGATTGTTTGGTCCTTCAAAATATTCAGCATTATCTTTGGTAGCTGAATATATTTTGCTTAATTTGAACAACTGCATTAATGCCAATAACCCAGCAGAAACCTCTTGGGAAAAGCTGCACTGACGTGGAGGGAAATGAAAGATGCCCAAACACTTCAAGGGGGCTTTACAGTGGTGATGCTCACAATGGACTGTGCCACAAACAGGCCTCGTACAGTAGGTGTTCAGGACAAAATATGGTTATTGTAAGCACACACACATACACAACTCAACTATTTACCTTCAGTTGATGGAACTGCTTCTCCATCTTGGATTGGGCCTTCTCAAACATCTGGTTCTTTACCTCATTCTCAATGCCTTCCATGAGGATTTTCTTCATCTGCTCATAGGATCCTTGACCCTTAGCTTTTGAGGCAGCTGTTGAAGGAAGTAAGGCTAATGATGTGAGCAAAACCAAAAGGGCTTAGACATGGTTAAATTCTTATTGTACCAAGAACCAAGATCCCCCCCGTCCACTGAATTATCAGTAGGTTTGGGGCAGTCAAAAACCAATGACATATCATTAGCTTATCCAATTGTTTTTAGTAATATGTAACCTTCTTCTGTCCTGTGTTTGGAAAGTCCCTTGAACTTCCCGGGTCACCTGGCTGGCCATTCTTGGAGATCAAGTGCTAGACTAAATGGATGCCAGGAGGCCAATTTCTAAGAATCCTTTTAACAAAAGAGTAAACTAACCCTACTTTTGCCATTTCAGTCCTTTGTTTCAAACAATTTGGGCTTTTTTTTCTTGTTATTTTCAAAATATAACTTGGTTATGCAGTACTGTAATGATACCCAGCACTGCCATTCTTCATGAAACAAGATAATCAGAAGCACAGAAAGCAGTTGGGTATTACAGTGCACCCATTCATGGAGTCATAGGAATCACTGCATCAGCAGATGTGCAGAAGCAGCCTTGGTGACAAGAGAAAGCAGGTGGGGGAAGAACACTGAGAACAAAGCATGATGGGAAATACAGACTTTGTTTTTGGAGGGTGGGGTTAGAGAGCAGGGGTGTGCATTTGGATCTACCCGGTAGATTTTTGCATCCCAAATGTTTCTGGGTTTTCTCTGGAAAACAAAAAAAATCCCAACTCGGGATATATTCTTTTTATTATTATTATTATTATTTTGTATTGATGTATTACATTTCATATTCATTCATCTTTTCATCAAGTTTACATAATCAAACATAAAATACATCAATTTTCGCCTTTATTATTCCCCCCCCCCTTCCTGAGTAACCAGAACCTTATTATTATATCTGTAACCATAAGCACACCCTATGGAGTTTTATCAATACATCATTATTGCCTAATTACTCAATTAGGTGGGAAGCTAAGCTGTTTATAAATTGTAGTAAATTCATGCCACTGGTGGATATTTATTTGGGAAAACAAGTATATAATAGTAGTTGCAATAAGATATTGACAAAGGATGTTGAAAATATATGGATAGGAATTCTTCAGAGTAATGAAAAAGGATATTTAGTGGTTAATGACCATCTGAGACGTTGTGAGAACCTTATCAAAAAATGTTGACTTTCAATTGTGAAAGTTAACTGGAATATATTTAATTAAATCTTTAAAGGAGGTCTTTATAAAAAAAAAAGCATGCTCAGTTGCAATATTGTCTAGAACTAGTTGTAATACTGATGACGTGAAATTTGAAATGTGACACTTCTTGTAGGAATTCTAATGGAGAAGATTGTAGTGTAAGAAATGAAGTGAGACATAGGTACTTTTCTCTCTCTCTACTGAAGGACCTCTCTCTAGACCACATTGGTGGTTCTGCTCTCAGGTGCTAGGATCACCAGGCTGCTTGATGAGCTCACTCTGGAGCAGGCCACATAGAACTGTCCATTTAAGAAGCAGTCGTCTGTTAAGTCGTCTCCTGCTACCCTCCACGAAAGTGATGGCCTCTCTACTTGTGTTCCTGGATTGTTTTGCTCATAGGGAGACTGTGTTGTTCCGAGCACCTCAGGGTGATCTTGCTAGTACTTGGCCTGTGCAGCTCAGTGCCCCGCAGGAGTACTATGTGAAAATGTCAGTGGGAGGACTTCTAGTGTCCTGGCCCCACTGCTGGACCTCCTGATGCCACCTGGTATTTTTGGCCACTGTGTGACAGAGTGTTGGACTGGATGGGCCTAGGGTTGCCAAACCCCCCGGTTTGCCAAGGGTCCCCCGTTTTGGGGGGTTTTCTACCCGCCCGCCGGCCAGATGGCCGGCAGGGAAACCCCACCCCCAACACCCGCACCTACCCCTCTCTCTCCCTTTAAGTGTGTGGAACCCGTGTTTCCTCCCAAGCCTGTGTTTCCTCCCGAGCCCGGAGTGCCAGCTTCCTGCTCTTAAAAGGGAAATGCGGCTGCTCTTAAAGGGGAAACGCCAGCTCCTGCATTTAAAAGGGAAACCAAAGTCCCCCGCTGGGGGTGGAAGATGGACTTGGCAACCCTAAATGGGTCATTGGCCTGAACCAACACTGGCGTCTCTTATGTTCTTATGAGGTCTCAGGTTCTCCCTTTGTTTTTCTGCCTTTCTCTCTGTGTTAGTTTCTTGGAACAGGGAGCAGCCACAACCATGTCCTCTTTGGCTCTCTGGGAGCTTAAGCAGCACCTCATAATCCCTGCAAGTCCCTCCCTGCCCTCTGATTCGCAGGGAACCAGCCAATCCTGTCTTCCTCCCCTGGTGGCCTGGGTCCAGTCTATGCCCCCTGATAGCCAACGCTGCTCTGAACCCCTCCTTTGCTTGGCTCCGTCAGGCCACCACTGGGCTGTAGAGTCATGGCTTCTGTTTCCCACCTACCTGCGCTCAAAGGCACATCATGTACTAGCCCATCAGTTGCCTATCACCTCGAGGGAGCCTGGACCCACTGCCGAGCTGACAGCCTTCTCCTACAGTGCCAGAGGTAAGCCCCACACTCACCTCCTGTGGAGAACCCCCCCCCCATTCTGAGTTTTTAAAGTGTTCCTGTTTTTTTCCTCTTCTCTCTAGAAGAGCAGGAAACTAGGGCAATTACCTGCCATAGGCCCCGGTCACACGAGCGGAATAATCCGCAGGGAACGGGAGGCTTTTTGAGCCGAAGCAAAAAGACTTGCGGTAGCACGATCTCACCTTCCCCCGAGGCTCCAAGTCCAAGCCTCCAGCAGCCAATCACACCACATTAAGCAACACAGCAGCAAGATATTTGTGCACATGCGTGGGATGCCTACGGGCGCTGGCTGCAACGGGCTACCTCTGCTTCCTGATCAGATGCCCGCACGCGCCACGCATTATCGGGAAACTAGTATATGGTTCCCGATAGTTTTTAAATCCGCGTCTTCAGGCCAAAGCTGCGGGTTAGAGACGAGAGTGCGATGTTTCCCAGATGTTCAGGTATGATCGCGCAGCTTTAATCCACAGGCAAGCCGTCCCTCCCGCGGGGCAAATTCGCCGTGTGAACAGGGCCATAGTTATGTAAATGGCTAACTCACAAAGGAACTGAGGGATTTGGTGTTAGGAATCTCCAGGTGACTCCTGGAGATCTCCCAGAATGCCTGCAAGGAGGGCTCCCAGGATGCACCTGGGTGTCCCAGGGGCCACCTGGGTGACCTGGGCAGAGCAGGTCAAAGAGGTGGAGAGTGATGTAGAACGGGTGGAGCCAGAGGTTTAATAAAAGTGCTTGATCTCAGGAGGGAGGGTCTCTTGTCTCTTGGTGCTGATCTTTGGGAGAGGACAGATGGCTGAGCTCTGATCTACAAGCCAAGAGCCATCAGCTATGTGGCCTGGCCCGCTGGCTGCAGAGAGCCGGGGTAACCTTTAGAACCTTTTGTAACTTTCTAAGCTTGAAATTGCCTACTCTATTTCAACATCTAGTAGAGTAAGTTTTTAGAACCAGGGAAAGAAGGATGCAATTATGACCAACTTTTCTTTGTCCTTCTGGTTGCTGATCTGGTGCTGTGCTTAGAGTATGCTTGTAACCTTTTTCTCTTTTTAATAAATATTTTACTACCACCAGGCTTTCAATTAGGAGCCGCCACCACCACCACCACCAACTACCTCATGGGAACATAGGGTATTGGGATGGCCCATTACAAGGTGGAGCCACAGTGCTTCGACTGACCGTACCGCCAAATCAGGCTCGGAGCTTCATCTACAGGTTACCATCTTGCTGTCAGCAAGCTGCCATTCTGTTTTCTGTGACCTCTGTGTACATATCCTTCCCTGTTGCACCCGGCTTGGTTTCTATCATCCTGCTCCTGCGTTGGAATGCAAAAGATAACTGCTGGAGGTTGTGTGGGGGAGAAGATGCTGTAATGCTTGGCTATTGCTTTTCCCATGAGTACTGCACCTGTGTTTTGACTAATGCTTTGCCTGGTTCCCATAGACTGGGCGCACAACTGTTTCTTTAGCCCGCCAGCGGGAAAGCTATTCATTGGACCTGTATCTATTTGAAGTTCCTTTATTATACTTGCCCTAACTGTGTATCCCCAGTTCTAACAAAGAACGTGTTTGAGTATCTTTCCAATGCTTTGAAATAAAATCTTGCTGTTTAAAACGTGGATTTATTCTCGATGCTTGGGGATCCAACATATTGTTAGAACTCTCTTTTTCCTATCGTTCCGAATCTGGCAAGATCATGAGCGGAATTGAGGGAAATCTACCTAACACGGAGGGGGACTCGGGATCGGTCCCACAAACCTCCGCGTCTTTGGTGTTCACGACTGCAGCCTCGATGGAGGGTGCCGTGGGGGGAACGATTCCCCGCCTGCCTGCACATCTGTCTTGGCCGCCTCCGACCCCTTCGCAATGGGGTCCGCGGAAGACTCACCAGCAGGATGATTGGACTATGTACAACACCCAGGGCACCCGTGAGGTGTACTCCCGTCGGGGGAGCGGATTACGTGAGAGTCTGTTTGACAAGGGATTGTTCCCGGAGCCGGGGTCTACCTCGGAGAAGGGGAGTCCCAAGCAGGACCTCGAGGAGTGGATGTTCGAGCCGTCGGGACCGCGGGGCCACGCAGAAGATGAGGAGGGCACCGGAGCCTTCCAAACGGAAGAGGACTATGACCCACCCCCGGACTACCGCCCTCGGGACCCAATCCCGGAGGAAACTACCGGAGAACGACTAGCAGAACTGGAAGACTCGGTGAGAGACTTGTTGCGGGCATTCCAGGATGTGATGGAAGGCCTGCCGGGAATGTTGGACGTTAGAATGGCCAATTTCCTGGACGCACACGCCGCGCAGTTACAAGTTGCTCCTGCACCGGGATTTCCCGCGCCGCCGATGCCTGCTCAACCGCTGATGGGACCACCGCTGCAAGCACCGGGAGTTCCAGCGCAGCAGGTACCTGTGCAGCCGCCAGTGAGACCGCCTCTGCAAGTGCCTGTGCAACCGCCGAT